AATTCCCACGTGCCCGTACGTGAGCCCCGGATGCTTCTAAACCCCTGATTTTGCTCGTACATGAGTAGGGAACATCCCCCTAAAGTTTCATCTTTCTGTTTTTGATTTTGCTCGTACATGAGTGGGGAACATTCCCTTAAAGTTTCAGCTTTCTAGCTTTCCCTGTTTGGATTTTGGTCAAACATGAGTAAAAAACATTCCCCGAAAGTTTCAGCTTTCTAGCTTTTCCCGTCCCCGAGTTAGTGATTTTCGCGCCAAATTCCCACGTGCCCGTACGTGAGCCCCGGATGCTTCTAAACACCTAATTTTGCTCGTACATAAGTGGGAAACATTTCCTCAAAATTTCAGTTTTCTAGCTTTTCCCGTTCCCGAGTTAGTGGTTTTCGCGCCAAAATTTCACATGCCCATACATGGGCTCGGGTGCCTCTAAACACCTGGTTTTGCTCGTACATGAGTGGGGAACATTCCCTTAAACTCTCAGCTTCCTAGCTTTTCCCGTTCCCGGGTTAGTGATTTTCGCGCCAAATTCCCGCGTGCCCGTACTTGAGCCCCGGATGCTTCTAAGCCTGATTTTGCTCGTACATGAGTGGGAAACATTCCCTTAAAGTTTCAGCTTTCTAGCTTTTCCCGTCTGATTTTTGCTCGTACATGAGTAGGGAACATTCCCCCAAAGTTTCAGCTTTCTAGCTTTTCCCGTTCCCGGGTTAGTGATTTTCGCGCCAGAATTTCCATGTGCCCGTACGTGAGCCCCGGGCAATTCTGGGCAGCTGAATTTGAAAGTTTTTAGTCGCGCATGGGCGGGGAATATTCCCCCAGAGTTTCAACTTTCTAGCTTTTTTCATTCGCTAGTAATGAATTTTCCCGCCATAATTTTCACGTGCCCGTACGTGAGCCCCGGACAGTCCTGGGCAGCTGAATCTGAAATCTTTTTGTCGTATACGGGTGGGGAACATTTTCCCAATGTTTCAGCTTTCTAGTTTTTCTCGTTCCCGAGTTGGCGATTTTCGCGCCAAAACTTTCACGTGCTCGTACGCGGGGCCCAGAGGTGCGTGAGGGTTGAAACTGCAGTCCTGGGGTGGTACCTGGCTGGGGAACACACTAGCAAAATTTCAGCTTCAAAGCTTGCACGGTTAGCGAGTTGAAATACCCGGACAGACGAACACACACACACACACATACACAAACATACACACACACACACAA